ATTGTAGAGCTTATTAATTTGTATAGAAGAACTATTGACATGTATGGAAAATGGATTACAATAGCATTCTTCATCTGTGACCGGATGCAATTATGTCCAACTATGTGATATGGACCTGACTTGTGAAATAGATATTAAAATGTCTAATCCAATATTTCGTTTAAAGAAGAGTTTTGGATTTCAGACGCTCTCCTCCGTGGTGACTTTCATTCTAAATAATTGCAATACTTAATTCAACAATCTTCAGTTTCTTTAAGAATACCAAATTGTATGCGCTTGGAAAAAATGTTCGCTTGTTTCAGCTCAACCAAGCAGTGCTGGCAGACACAAGAAGTAAATTATTGTATGCTTCAATCGGAAGCCCTTTTACTTAATCCTTAATGAGACGCATTGCTTTGAGAGATCATTGGATAATTCTCATCTATTGGTTGGAGATTCTAAATTGAAAAAACATTGATTTTATTATTGCCCAACTATGTTCCTTCAAAAATCCACATTCAATGTTCCATGATGGATTTTCTTTGAAATCCATATTTAAAAATTTAATTTATCAATAAATATTTGTTCTAAGCATATTGGTGTAAATCTTATCACGATGACTCTTCAACTCCGATTTTTTATAACATAAAATAATTTCTTGTTGGAAACAAAGTTCTTACTTTTCAAACAAAGAACAAATTCTTTTTATTTGTTCAAAAATTTGGAATCAAAAATCATCCGATATGAGTTCTGAATAGCTAGAAAAATTATTTATATTTTTCATAAATCTAGAAAATCTTCCTTCAAATTCATTTGTTTAAGGATTATATGAACAAAAGATTTTGCAAATATCTTCTATTCAGATATGTTTGCTCAGTTATTTGTTCGGCCAAACGCCCATAATATGTTTTCGAATATTCACTTTGTTTTGATCTACTAATCGGAGAATTTTTCAAACTACCATTGAAGTTGTGTATAAATTTACTTTGGATAATACCTATAATACCCTGACCGTATAGTTAGCTACTAAGTATAATAAGATGTTATTAAGCGATTAAATCAAATTATGATTTGTTATGTAATTTTGATGATCTTTGGCTTCATATGCTGTTACTGGTACTAATATCTGTCTAGAAATCCGCTTTAATATAAAGATTGAAAGTCTTCAATCTAGGCTCTGATCGAATAGTTAATTCAATTGTGTATTTGGAATTTTATATAAACCATGGCAAATATATTATTTAAAATGGATTCGGTTCTGAATATACAATACGAATGTTTGATAGAATGGGAACCTTGATGGAACTTATTGTTGGATTATTATTTGAATTTTGTGCAACCTGAATTAAATTATGGTATATTTATTCTGAATTTAACATGCACAAGTATGAGCCTAAAACTATATCTATTAAATGATCCAGGAGATGTGATTTAGTGTGTAATGTGTATGGGGCAATTTTGTAGTGTTGAGTGTAGAGAGAAAATTCGTTGTGTGTGAGTTAGAAGCTTAGGCTATGGTTGTGCACGTGTAGTTGTCATAAGAAGTGATGTGTTGTATATGGTACTTCAGCCGAGTGAGAGACTTCTGTGCCATTCTCTTGCTCTTCGAAGTCCTCTTGTTGAGAGAGTTGCTTTAGAAAGAGACAGAGAAGAAGAGAGAGCAGAGTTTGCTTAACTAGAGTGAGAGAAGTGAGCTCAAGAGGTGAAGAAGAGAAGCGCAAACGAGAATCACTGGAATCAATACCTGCACCTCTGAATCAAGCCTTCATAGGATTAGAGTCCTTAGCATATCCTCGACAATACTTTCTATGCATCATGTTTTTCAACTATGTCTTTGAACCATTCTGCATGAACTTGAAATGAAGTATGGTCTTTCAGCAAGAAAATGGTTTTGAAGTTATGAGGAATAATACATTCTTCATTGATCTGTGTCTTGGGATTTGCTCTAAGCGCTTGCATGCATGTAAGTTTTAATCATGTTTATAGCTTCAGAACTCATGAGTGTGTAGATAACCATTTGCATGTTTTGAAGAAAACAAGAGAATGATTTGAAAATCTTTCATGCATGAGCTTACAAGTTCAAATGTGCTAAATCCATGAGTTTTGAGCTAAAGGTTTGAAAAGGGCTATATATCTGTGTTTTAGTAAAGTTTTCCAAGTATTTTGATCAAGCTTTGCATGAACATAGCTATTAAAATAGCATTTGAAGCTCAAACTCTGTTTTTGGATACCCAGATTTTTACAGTCCGCTCGAGCAAAGAAACCTGCGCTCGAGCGGAGAATGCGAGCTCTCAGTATTTTTTTTTCAAACATGAGCTTTCCGCTCGAGCGACCACTTGGACGCTCGAGCGAACCCTTTGCATGTTGAAGATCCACTCGAGCGTGGGATTTGTAACTCGAGCGTGGATTACGACCAACCAGTACTTTTTCCAAATTTGTAGGTCGCTTGAGTGAAGGAAGTCACGCTCGAGCGACCCCTCTCATTTTGCATGTCCGCTCGAGCGAGGAAAGCTACGCTCGAGCGGGGGACCTTATTTTCAGAAATTTTGCCTAAGTGTTCCAACTCATGTTTTGGCATCCTCATTGTATCTTAGGCATTCCTAAGCCTTAATTAAGCTTTGATAATGAGGTTATGGATTAGAAACACACTAAGAAAAGAATGTTCCAGGTTCCGAGACTGCAAGTGTGTGTGTGTTTTAATCAATGTGCTAAGTATGAACAAGAACTAACGTAATGAAAGTTAAGCTGTGTTGGCCATGTGAACGTGTAATAATGAGATATGTTGTGTTATGTACTTTTGTGATTGTAGGTCAACGTCTAAAGATTGATTAACCGTTTGCGAGAACCACTGTGAGTAACGTTATCGTAAAGATACGTTTATATAAATTATGTTCCAAATGAAATATGATAAGCTATGATTTCTGAAATGTTATCTGTTTACATGAACGAACATTCCAAGTTTGAAATCTATTATGGCATCCTTAGATAGTCCCAAGTCATGGGGGACGGCATGAAAATGCAGGTCCATGACATACATGTAATTACGAGATCTCGTTAGCCATTTCATTGTGGTGATATGTGTTTAATCGGTATCCAGAATCGATTACTCTAGTCAGAAGATGTTTTGTGATGTGTTCTATGGGATGCACCATTATTATGTTCTGATATGAGGATGATTATGCTATGATCTGTTTTCCGCTTATGATATGTTCAGATTTCGTTCACTAACCTCTTTACCTTAATGTTATTCACTGGGCTTTAGCTCACTGTTTGTATATATATATGTATAAGTGAGCATTTCGGAGTTCATGTCTGGAGACTTTTTGTCTAGATCTGTGTTTGGTTGTCAGCCAGCCATTGTGCCTCACGTGGAGGTTCCCGAAGTGTCCTGTGTTCAAGTTCTGTTGGTTTTATGTATATGTATGACTTGATTTAATTCTGCTAGCTGTACTTAAAATACTGTAATGTGTGTGGGTATAATGTATGGTTGGCTTTTGGTTATTGTATATGAAGTTTTTAAATATTCTGTTTCATATAAGTCAACACAGCTCATTGGACAAGTATATTTATATAATTGCTTCCGCTAGCCCCTTAATCTTGTTAATCTGTTCAGAGGCCTTCGGCAATCCAAGGATTACTGCCCGGTTACGATACTAAACCTATAGGGGCGGGTTTGGGTCATGACAGAGTGGTATCAGAGCACGAGTTATACTGCACACACGTGTCCGTATGAGCTATAGGATGTCCTAGAAATGAAATAGGGACATTGCATTACCATGTTTAAGTGTGTGAACTATTATGAACACATCCTTATTGAAAACGAATTGAAATGAAACTTTGTGCATGATCGAAGAAGTTAAGTGGAATAACATGTAATGTTAATTTCAATATCGAATATGGAATCTTGTGAACGTGAACGTATGAAAGTAAGGATCATGTGACTGTATCTGAATTGAGATGAAAGTATAAACGCGTCTGATATGAAATGAAATGTGAGAACAGTGAGAACTTTCCTTATATTAATAAGTAACTTGTTTGTGTGTAGCCAATGGAAAGGACAATGAATATAGATGAATCTGAATCCTCTGACGCTAGAATTAGCCGGTTAGGAAGAATGGTTGAAGCCCTAACCAAGAATCTGAAACAACAGCAACAAGGGCATAAAGAGTCAGCTAATTATGATATGATAACACTGACACAGAAATACAATAAGATAAAACCACCGGAATTTCAGAGGGGTATTGAACCGTTGAAAGCTGAGGCTTGGGTCTTAGAAACTGAGAAAATATTTGAGGTATTTCCGTATACAGAGGCACAAAATGTTTTGTTGGCAACATTCACGCTCAAAGAGGAAGCTAGGAGATGGTGGATGTTAGTACGAACTGATAATGAGGGTGTGACATGGGATAGATTTAAAGATATTTTCTTCGAAAAATACTTTCCCCAATGTATCCGGGATAGGAAGGTATCTGAATTTGAACAACTAAAACAAGGCAAAATGACTGTGGCTGAATATGAAACAAAATTTACCGAGTTAGCCCGATATGCACCCCACATCATAGACACTGACTACAAAAAGGCTAGAAAATTTGAAGGTGGGCTTGACTTAGATGTGTTTGATTGAGTTGGCATCTTAAAATTGCCAAAATACGTGGATGTTCTTGATAGGGCCTTAATGTCTGAGGCAAACATAGCAGCTTTGAAAATATCAAAATCAACATCATCAACTGAATCAGAAAGAGCGAAACAGAAGAAAAAGAAGGTTGAAATGACTAGTAATTTGATAACTTCTGCGAATGAAAAATCTAGGGCAATAACTGTGAACAAGGAGAGTCGGGGAAGCAATATGAACAATGGCATACCTATTTGTAAAGAATGTGGGAAACAACATTGGGGCATTTGTCGCCGCCTATCAGGGGCTTGTTTTAGATGTGGTCAGAGAGGGCACTTGGTTAAATCTTGCCCGCGAACTCATCCGAACAACACTAGGCCTAATGCTAGTACGACTGGTTCTGTTCCTACACCCTAGTTCTAGAAAATGGTCGGGACACTGAAACAACTGATGCAGGTATTACCTTAATTATGTGCAATTGTTTATATGAGAATTTGTGTGGAAAGTATACATTCCTTAACTTGATATAGATTGTGGACATGTTAATTGAACAAATTGACTTATTAGAATTATGGGTCTTTAGTTATTGACTGCCTCGAAAACTTGTTAATTTTATGAGAGATGCCCGAAACCCTATAACGAATTACCTGAGCTTTAGGAATTGTTGTGACTTTTGGACTACGCTATAACTATCGAACATGGGAATACGCTATGATTGACTATAATCGAGAACCTATGTCAGTTTGGAAGAACGAACTTTTGCTTGTGAATTGTGAACGAATGCCTAAGTGGTAATTGATTCCAGATTCGTATCCGTACACATATGACCTTGCTTGTACACTTGAGACCTACTGCCTGATGTGAACTATATGTGTGATGCTTTAGACTCTTTTGTGTAACAACTACCTATGCTATGGAGAATGTTTGGACTTATATATGTTTATACCTTTACTTGGGATTTTGATTGATTCAAACTGGACATGCTCTTTGTATCTAGACAGAGTGGACTTGCCTTAACTATTGTATCTGGAGAAACTGTTTTGTGTTCATCTATACATTGAACTCATGAATCCGTATTGGGAATGTTATTAGATTCTGAACATGCACCTATATGACTGTACCTTTGCTCAGAATGATTGATATGTTAGTTGTTTTGATAACTTGACCGTTGGGATTATGACTCTAAAATTGTGTGATTAAGTAAAGACCCCAAGCGATAAACTCTGAATTGTGAACTACGATTGTTGTAACTTGACAAGACCGTTTGACTCGACTAGTGAGCCTATAATTTAGCGACTGTACGACTGATTTGAAACTTCTGTATAACGATTTGCTATTGTGTACCACTGAGAAACTTTATGTGATACACCGTTGTGTACCTTATCCTTACATGAAAACTCATTTGGGAAATTGCTATACTGACCGTAATGCTTACCTCTCGATATGAACAACTATATGCCTGTGCACCCACATATACACTTACTTGGAGGATGTAACATTGTATGTGATCTGAACTCTTCGATATGAATTATTGGGATACATAACTCTGATGTGACTTGAGAACCGAGGAACTTAGAACAACTGTAGAACTACTAACTATGCACCTAAGCGAATGGAGTATGAACTATAGAACCTAATGTGCATCGCTTGGAAATAGTAAGGATGGAACTTTCACCCGATCTAACCTGATAGAACAGTGGTTTGATGAGACCTTTGTTTAACTGATGGAACTTCTGTTTGATGACTCATGCTTTGAACTTTTATTTGATATGATTGAGTGAAACTTTCATCCGATATGACCTGATTGAACTTTCATTGATTTGATCTGAGGAGACCCTTATTGAGAGCTACTATTTGATTTGATTACATTATGTGAGATTGTGAATTGCTTATGATCGAATAATAGGGCCGTGTTGCTAAGGGAACTAACCGAATGAGAATTAGAATCAATCTTGAACCCTTAGGAAGAATGTGAACCGTCAACAGCAGACTATGTGATTACGAATAACTTTTTACTATATGCCTGTAACCGGTTGGGGAAAACACGTGAATGAGATTACGAAATTTGGTAACTTGTGCTTGGGGAATATGGGAATACTGTATACATGACACGTGGTTAATTATTTCGGTATTACCGTTACTACCATGAACTTGGTTGACTAGAGCATGATTGTTTTGGTGATACTGCACTTCAAACTGATGGGATTTGTGGCAACAGGCTGGTTGATTATAAACTCTGACTACCTGGGGGTATATGTAATCAATATGGCTGCTTTTGTGTTGACACATAGTACGATTGAGTCTGTGGAAACTGAGGCCGATGAATAGTATATGAATGATTACCTCAGAATTTTGTTTACTACTATAGGGTTAATGTACGAAATTACCTTGTATTTCTGCTATACTTTGGGTGACCTGGACTAACTGTAATGGATTACCGAATTAAAAACCAAGTTGAACAAAGACCGGAAGAATGACTCGGAATGAATAATCAAATCTCTGTAACTTAACGGGGGAAACTACTTATGAAAATGGAAATAGTGTGAATCTATGACTCCAATAAGTACTTGATATAAGTAATGTGATTAATAACGTAGTAAAGTTGTGTTCAACGGTAATCATTTTTTGTATGTCTAAAGGGGATTTGTTTTCTGAAATATTATGTGTTGTGCAATGTCTAATCTCTGATATGTATTCGTGTGACTCTTGGTATTATGTGATATCTGTTAGCTGTTACCCGGTATTGGAGGTTCCTTTATGGAACTTATTTCTGTCTGCACTCTGTTACTCGTACCGGAGGCCCTGTCACGAGGGCTCAACTTCTGTTCTATTTTGTTACCCGGATTCGGAGGTTCCTTTATGAAACTCGTTATTTATAACCATCACGTGTCTGTATCTGTTCTGTATTTGCTATATCTGTATCTGTTTTGTATCTGCTCTGTTATGCTGATAAATGCACCACGTATGTTTAAGCCAAAATTGTGACATCTGCGAATGATCTGGGCAAGAATATGGAAATGAACATGTGTCTGAATCTGTTCTGGACTAAAACCTAAGTGTGTATAAGACTCTGTTTCGATAGGAACCCTAATCTCTATATATGGTTATGCTTCTATTTTGTAAAGAGTTAAGGTTACATTTATAAGGAACATCATTCCTTTTTGGCATATGTTAACTCAAGTTTAGAGGACCAAACTTTTTAAGGTGCGGAGACTGTAATAACCCTGACCCGCAGTTAGCTACTAATTAGTAATTAAGGATGTTAATTAAGCGGATTAAACAAATTATGGATTTGTTATGTAATTTGCATGATCTTTGGCTTCCTATCTGTTACTGGTGGAAATATCTGTCTAGAAATCTGCTTTAATATAAAGATTGAAAGCCTTATCGGCATCTGAAATCGGAATTAGTTACATTAATGTGTTATTTGGAATTTTTAGAACACCATGGCAAATTTTATTAAAAATGGATTCGGTTTGATAAAAATCGCATGTGAGTAAATAGAACCTTGATGGGAACTATTTTGGATTAATTGAATTTCGTGCCAACCTAAATAAATTAGGGTTACTTATATCTGATTTAAATAATGCACAAGTGATGCCTAACCTAATCCTATTAATGATCCAAGATGTGATTTAGTGTGTAATGTGTTGGGGCATTTTTGTAGTGTTGAGTGTAGGGGATAAATTCTTGTGTGTGAGTTGGAAGCTTGCATGTGTGTGTGCACGTGTAGTGTGCTCAAGAAGTGAGGTGGGTGTTATGTACTTCAGCCGAGTGAGAGAGCCTTTGTGCCATTCTCTTGCTCTTCTAGTCCTCTGGGTTGAGAGAGTTGGCCTTAGAGAGAGAGAGAGAGAGAGAGAGAGAGAGAGTTTAGCTAAAAGAGTGAAAGAGTGAGCTCAAGAGGTTGAAGAAGAGGAAGGAAACTGAGAGGATTCACTCCCACACTTCTGAAATCAAGCTCTAGGTAAGAGTCCTTAGCATATCTTCTGCAACTAGCTTCCATGCATCATGATTTCAACTCATCTTTGAACCATTCTCATGAAATTGAAATGAAGTTGGGTCTTTCAGCAAGAAAATGGCTTGTGTGCATGTTATGGAGGATTATACCTTGTTCATTCGTGTCTTGGGATTTGCTCTTAGAGTCCTTGCATGCATGTAAGTTTTAATCATGTTTATAGCTTCAGAACTCATGAGTGTGTAGATCACCATTTGCATGTTTTGAAGAAAGCAAGAAAATGATTTGAAAATCTTTCATGCATGAGCTTACAAGTTCAAATTTGCTAAATCCATGAGTTTTGAGCTAAAGGTTTGAAAAGGGCTATGTATCTGTGTTTTAGTAAAGTTTTTCAAGTATTTTGATCAAGCTTTGCATGAACATAGCCATTAAAATAGCATTCGAAACTCAAACTCTGTTTTTGGAAACCCAGATTTTTACAGTCCGCTCGAGCAAAGAAACCTGCGCTCGAGCGGAGAATGCGAGCTCTCAATACTTTTTTTCAGACATGAGCTCTCCGCTCGAGCGACCACTTGGACGCTCGAGCGAACCCTTTGCATGTTGAAGATCCGCTCGAGCGTGGGATTTGTAACTCGAGCGTGGATTACGACCAACCAGTACTTTTTCCAAATTTGTAGGTCGCTCGAGCGAAGGAAGTCACGCTCGAGTGACCCCTCTCATTTTGCATGTCTGCTCGAGCGAGGAAAGCTACGCTCGAGCGGGGGACCTTATTTTCAGAAATTTTGCCTTAGTGTTCCAACTCATGTTTTGGCATCCTCATTGCATCTTAGGCCTTCCTAAGCCTTAATTAAGCTTTGATAATGAGGTTATAGATTAGAAACACACTAAGAAAAGAATGTACCAGGTTCCGAGACTGCAAGTGTGTGTATGTGTGTTTTAATCAATGTGCTAAGTATGAACAAGAACTAACGTAATTAAAGTTAAGCTGTGTTGGCCATGTGAACGTGTAATAATGAGATATGTTGTGTTATGTACTTTTGTGATTGTAGGTCAACGTCTGAAGATTGATTAACTGTTTGCGAGAACCACTGTGAGTAACATTATCGTAAAGATACATTTATATGAATTATGTTCCAAATGAAATATGATAAGCTATGATTTCTAAAATGTTGTCTGTTTACGTGAACGAACATTTCAAGTTTGAAATCTATTATGGCATCCTTAGATAGTCCCAAGTCATGGGGGACAACATGAAAATGCGGGTTCATGACATACAAGTAATTACGAGATCTCGTTAGCCACTTCATTGTGGTGATATGTGTTTAATCGGTATCCGGAACCGATTACTCTAGTCGGAAGACGTTCTGTGATGTGTTCTATGTGATGTACCATTATTATGTTCTGATATGAGGATGATTATGCTATGATCTGTTTTCCGCTTATGATATGTTCGGATTTCGTT